TTTAATGGTATTTCATCCTGGGATTTACTGTAATATATCTAACCATTTAGATTATATAGTCTTTGACCCATTCCTTTTTGCCTCTCCATTCCAGCACTGATACTTTAATCTGGAGGATTTGGTTTCCTATAGTAGTTGCTATGTATCATAATTCACACTTGTGGTTTGGCAGCTAGCATGGCTGTAGTGTTTAACTGAGACTCATGGAAGATCTGTGCTTAAAACGAGTGTCTTGGGGATTATGTTTGCCTCAGCAGTTCAAGACTTTGGCATTGCCCCCGTTCCTCAAGGAAGGGTGCCTGCCACTATGAATGCTACAGAGCTAAGGAAGCCTGAACCCTTGCTGACAGAGGCAGAGCTTGCTGATTCACAGATGTCTGGCCTTGCAGTGCTGTGTCTGGGCTGGGGGTGTTGCATTATACCAGTGTGTCAGGCACTATATGTGAGGTCCCACTGATACTAGAGGGTGCTGGAATGGTAACTAGTTCATACTGTAGTACACTTTAGGCCTGAGTGTTGGCTAACTTCTAGAAGGACTAAAGGAGTAAGGGAGATATGATGAGCTCCATGCAGCCTGCTGTCTAAAAAAGAAAATCGGTTTTCTGGACCAGACCTGTTTCCTTCTAGTAACCATATCCTTTTGAACAGGGGTTGGTAAACTTTTTCTGTAAAGGGCCAGATACTAATTAGTTTTGGCTTTACAGGTCACACAGTTTCTGTTGCAACTGTTGAATCCTGCTGTTATAGAGTGAAAGCATTCATAGATAATACAGAAACAAGTGGACGTGGCCATGTTCCAATAAAACTTTATTTACCAAAACAGGCAGCAGGGCAGATTTGGGCCATAGTTGGCTAACCCCTGCTTTTGAACAATGTTTTTTGAAACTGCAAATCTCTACTTGTTAGTGGTCATTATCTCCACTCTCTGAGAATCAGAGTTTTTCTTAGCTCACAAAACTAGATCACACAGACCATGCTTCCAAGTCTGCATTCTTCCCCCTCCACCTTGTTGCCTCTTAGAAAAAGGCAATCTAAATAACCAGAACCCATGGAAAGAGAGGAAAGGTGAGCCCAGAGAGCTGATTTGGGACTAAGAAACAACCCTAAGAGTTTAAGTATGGAAGATTTGTATGGCTTGCCAACATTGGGACCACACTCTATCCTTTTATTTTGTCTCTGTCGTTTATTACTAAACGAATGTCTTATCTGAACCTGGTGAGTGCAGAGTAAACACTGCTATTTGTCTCTTTCCCCACCTCTGCCCTTCAGTCATTCCCCATCATTTTCAAGATAAAGCCAACTTCCCAGTCATGATATACAAGACCCTGTTTGTGACCCCAATGCTTAACACAGATGTGTTTCAGAATACAGAATGTTTTGGATTCTAAAAAGGCAGTATGGTGCACACAATTAAGATATATTGGGTAGCGTCCTCTGCTAGTTCTGGGTCAGAACACAGTAATCAAACACATGAATATTTCTGCTTCGAAGAGTGTGACTGCTTACGTCTCATGGAATAAAGAATATACATAGATTTCTGTCAGTTCAGGTCAGTTTTTGCTGCCCAGTGAGTTACAGGAAAACATTTAGTTTGGGGGCTTTTTGGATTCAGAATTTGAGGTAAGAGATATGTGGCCCTGTAGATACCATGTGGTGTTCTGGGAGCTAGGTTGCGCTGGCTCTAGAAAGCCCAGTTTGTGTGCCTCTTCCCAACTCTTGAGTCAGTGAGGTCATGTTGGTAGCTTGAAATCAGCCATGATGGGAGTATTTACACCATGAACATCAGCAAATATTACAAATCATGGCCTTTTCCTCCCAGCTGGTTGTTACACATCACCAGCACAGCACTGTATATGTCCTTTATAGTACATTTGTATGTTTATATCGTCGTGGTTAACCAACTTGCCCACTCTGTGTGGTATAGACCAAAAGGCTGAGGTTTTCAGGGATGCATCCCACCAAACCCACTGCCATCGAGTCATTTCCTACCCATAGCAACCTCATAGGGTTTCCAAGGCTGTAAATGTCTACAGAAGCAGACTACCACATCTTTCTTCCGTGGAGCCGCTGGTGGTTTTGAACTGCTGATCTTTTGGTTAACAGTCGATCACTTTAACCACTGTGCCACCAGGGCCCAGGGAAGCACAGAATGTAAAAATGAAGGGGATCAAGATGAAGGCGGTAAGAGAAATTGGGGGAAAAAGGGAGGGCTTCGGACAGACAGACCTGGGTTCAAATGCTGACACCATCATTTTCAGACTGTGTGACCCTGGGCAAATCTCTTACCTTCTTTGGGCCTCAGTTTACATATTTGAAAAATGGGGACTGATAATATCTTCCTCTTAAGGTGTTTATGAAGGTTAGATTAGATCTCATATTCAAAGTGCCTGGCATAGAATGGACAGAAAGTATTAGTCCTTGATTACTCTAAGGCTTTTTTTTTTTTCCTGGAAGTGACTCCCATTCTCTAAGAGTCCTAGTACACTACAGTAAGTATCATGCAGTTTAGCACTTGGATGCTCTCCAGTTGTTTCATCTTATGCATCAGTTAGATATGATCTCCTTTGTGATTAATTACTTTTGTGTGTGGCCTTTCTAGCCGTGGTCTCATAACTCCCACCCAGGTGATTGTGTGATAGGGTAATTGTGGCCCACCAAGGGGATTGGTCAGTTTTGCTGAAAGAGAGCTGATTGCAGAACAGAGAGGAGGAGCCCACCACCAAGGAAGGAGAGACCAGCAGGAGAGACCTGGAAACAGAAGATGGTGCGATGGGCTTCCAGCCCACAGAGAGAGAAAGCTGAGTGCCTTTGGGCAGAGGCCAAGGGCCATGGAGAGGTGTGTCTGTGAGCACGGTTGGGAAGAGGCTGTTCTGATGGAAGAACTGTATCCTGAGTGTTCCTGAGCCTGAAGTGTAACTATTACTTCCTTAATAAACCCCATGATCGTGAGTGTTGTCTGTGAGTTCTGTGTGGCCATTGCAGTGAATAATTGAACACAGCAGAGAAGTAGAGAGTGTTGTGGGGGGGATGGTTGGTGTCAGAATTGGTAAAGATGATGGAAAGAGGAGACTTGGTCTGGCCTCTTCCTCATGGGAGTCAGCCTTGTGCTGTTGATCTTGGTTCTCCTTCCTGTTTGTGGGGTTGGAGGAAGTCAGACACTGCCCCCAAGCCATTTTTACATCCTTATAAAGACATGATCCTTGACTTCTCTCGAGCATGTTTATATAAACTAATAATTTATAGGGGTTTATTTTCCATGAAAAGCTTTTAGTCATTCATTTATTCATTTAATAAGCATTTATTGAGCATCTATTATGTGTTATTGTGCTAGATGCTGTTGATACTGACATGAAAAAGCCATAGACCTTCCTTATAATCTGGAGGAGTGATACATAGTTGGGCAAGGAAACCAACTATTTAGATGCACAGAGGAATAGATTTGGAGAGATGACGGTCCAGTTTTGGACCACCTTCGTTTTGAGGTGCATGTAGGGCATATGGTAGGGTAACCAAGTAACTTATTAAACAAACCTGAACACTTACGAGAGTGAACGAGAGGTGCCATTAATCATTAAGCTGGGGTACGAACAGGACCTGTCCTGGACAAACCAGGATATATTTACACAGGTAAAGACTATCAAGCAGAGATCATTGGAGATGAAGCCACCTCTCAAGAATGCAGAGAGGGAAGAAAGCAGTGGGCTAAGTGGAGTCCTGGGGAAATATTTAAGATGGAAGAAACAATGTGGCCATTGAGGCCTCAGGAAAACCTGGAGAGGGTGGCCTCACCGAGTCCCAGGAAGGAGTCATCTTATTTTCTCATATCTATTGTTTTAGGAGAGGAACCCCATTGAGCGACTCATCAGATAAAGCTTATCTGCAGTGAGAGGCCATATACTTAAAGAAAAGGGCTTTCACCTTTTATTAGGGTACAATGTTTGAATGACTTCTTATGTATTAGGATGCCTCTCCTAGGCACTTCTGTTTTATATTCACTTGGCCAGAGTCTGCTAATTCAGATTTAATTTAAATCCAGATGGTATTTTATGTTATATTTTCTCTTTGGATTACTAGTTATTTAATCCAATATAGTGAATATAATCACTACGAGCTTCAAGTAAATTTCCACTCAAGAAGAGAGAGTGCACATTTAGCTAGATAAATCCTGTAACATTGAAATTCATAAAACAGCACTTCTTTTTCTTTCTTAGAAAATAAAGTCCTTTAGGAAGTCAACAGAAAAATATTTTGCGTTTTTAGTGGTTTCATGGCTGGCTGTTTTTCCCCTCAATATTTTATTCTGAAAATTTTCAAACATACAAGAGAACTGAAAGAATTATACCCAGCACCCAGATTCTACAATTAACATTTTGCTATATTTGCTTTATCACATACCTGTCCATCCTCTAAGGAGCCCTCGTGGCGCAGTAGTTAAGCTCTGGCTGCTAACCAAAAGGTCAGCAGTTCAAACCCAGCAACCACTCTGTGAGAGAAAGATGTGGCAGTCTGCTTCTGTAAAGATTACAGCCTTGGAAACCCTATGGGGCAGTTCTACTCTGTATTATAGGGTTGCTGTGAATCAGAAGTGACTCGACGGCAGTGGGTTTTTGGTTGGGGTATCCATCTGTCTGTCCCTGTAGTTGTCTACCAATATATCTTATTTATTTAGATGCATTTCAAGTAAGTTGGCTAACTGTTTTTCTGAACAGTCTTATCTTTATTTTTCTGGATATTGTAATTAAAGTGTCAACACATTTTATGCAGATATTTTCAGTTCATCCTCTTTCCTGTTTCTAGAAATCTGAGGTTGTTAATAATTGCTGTCAGAATATGAAAAAAAAAAAAAAGTCTGGTAAAAAGTGCTAAGCCTAGTTAGTGCCCTCGTTCTCAATTACTTTATAATCTAGACACAACTTTTAAAGTTATCAAAAATAATTTCTAGTTTTTTATGCATTTTTCCTATTCTAAACAAATATTTACTCACATGATATTGTTTTCAGAGTGGAGAGATCTACAGACCAAGTCATCAAGCCAGTCAATGTGGGAGCGCTATCCAAATGGGTTGGGAAGATTCCTCCAGATGTTTTACAAGACATGGCAGTGATTGCACCCATGCTTGCCAAACTTGGATATGACCCATATGCCAATCCACCTAACTATGGAAAACCCGATCCCAAAATCCTTGAAAACACTAGAAGGGTAAGTGAGATTTTTAAATTGACTGAGAAAACTGGATATGTAATTTGAGGGTTTTTTTTTTTTTTTTTTCAACCCTTCACCGAAGTTACCACTTATCTATTTTCTATTTAGTGTTTTTCCATCCCCACCTTTCTGTAATTTATAGTTTGAAAAGATTTTTCTTATTTTGTTTCTTGCTTATTTATGATGAGAAAATAATTGTAAATTAGAAAAATTCTATTGTAGAATGCTTTATTATCAGAAGTCTTTCACTGCATTTTAAGGATAACTGTGGTGCTTCCCAAGAACTGTAGGAACAGTTCTTTAAATGTATTTTTCCTAGTTTCTGGGAATGGTATTCACTGTTGGGGAAATTTATTCTCAGAGGTGATTGTCGCCAATTTGTATAACCAAACTAAACCTGTTGCCGACAAGTCGATTCCGACTCATAGCGACCCTATAAGGACAGAGTAGAACTGCCCCATAAAGTTTCCAAGGAGTGGCTGGTGGATTCAAACTGCTGACCTTTTGGTTAGCAGCCATAGCTCTTAACCACTGCACTGACATCAAAATTATTAGTGATCTCACTTCTAGTTTCTTCTGTCTTAAAATCTAATGGCTACTTTACTTCTAAACCTTTGTTTAGATGAGGCATGATTTCCTGTTTTTTGAAAGCTAAACATTGATTACAGTAGAAGAGTTAACAAACAGATAAAATAAACTAGACTTCTGATTGAAAGAAAGTTGCCATTTAAGTGAAATTAGTTTTTCTTTTTAAGTTATTCTTACATCTTTGAAAATTTTTGTTGCAGGAAGGTGAAAACTCAAAGAACTAATCTGAAAATATGCTTTACCAGTTGAATCTATTTCAAATCAGATCTATGTACTCTTTAGAAACTACAGTTTAAATGAGATAGCCATGTTAGCATAAGTTCACAGATAGGCTATTTGATTTCAAGATTAAAATCCCTTGACTTTCTCTGGTACTTCCTTACATCGCCAGTGCCCTTCCCTCCCCAGAGCCTTATAATATAAGGTTTCTTTATTCTGTCTTTCTGTTGATGCCTTTAATTGACAAACAAATTCATATAACATGAGGTTAATTTCCATGTTGATTCCTTTCTCTTAGGTATTACCTTCTGTCTTAGTCATCTAGTGCTGCTATAACAGAAATACCACAAGTGGATGGCTTTAACAAACAGAAGTTTATTCTCTCATAGTCTAGTAGGCTAGAAGTCCAAATTCAGGGTGTCAGCTCCAGGGGAAGCCTTTCTCTTTCTGTCAGTTCTGGAGGAAGGGCCTTGTCATCAATCTTCCCCTGGACTAGGAGCTTCTCCATGCAGGAACCCCAGGTCCAAAGGATGCACTCTGCTCCCGGTGCATCTTTCTTGGTGGTATGAGGTCCCCCCTCTCTGCTTGCTTCCCTTTCCTTTTATCTCTTGTAAGATAAAAGGTGGTGCAGCCACACTCCAGGGAAATTCCCTTTACATTGGATCAGGGATGTGACCTTAGTAAAGGTGTTAAAAATCCACCCTAATTCTCTTTAACATAAAAGTACAATCACTAAATGGAGGAGAACCACACAATACTGGGAATCATGGCCTAACCAAGTTGACACGTATCTTTTGGGGGACAGTTCAATCTATGACACCTTCATTTTCCTTTTAATTCATCATTAAGGGCTATATGTGAAGATTTATCTTCCTGTGAACTTTTAGATACAAAAGCAGAATTTTTAAATGATGTCTATCCTTTTTATATAAATATTTTTATTACAAAATATAAGCTTATTGCATGAAACTTACAAAATTAAAAAGCTAAGAGAACAAAAATCACCTGTGTTACCACCCAGACACGTATCATTCTTAATATTTTGATGTGTTTCCCCTCCTTTGTGTTTTGTTTAAGATCTTATAATCTTACCTTTATATACAGTTTTATATCCAGCTTTTCCTCTTAATATTCATTAGCATTTGCCCATTTTGCACACTTTCTTTAAACATAATTTTTTATGGTTATATATCATCATATGAGCCATCTTAAATTCTTGCTGAAACACAGTAGTGAATGAATGAATGAATGAATGAACAAAATGTATTTCCTAGTAGATGTTCTATAATTCATTTTACCATTTTTCTTTTGTTGTATATAGTTTTTACTAGATTATCTTGCAGTAAACATCTTTGTACATCCATATTTTTTAGGTTTTTTTTTTTTAAGGTTCAATTAATAGAAGTGGAATTAAACCAGGTCAAAGTTTCTGAGACTTTTTTAAGTTGCTTGATAGTATGCTGATAAATTGTTTTTTAAAAATGTTTGAACTACCTGTGTTGTCTTATCAGTGGAGTACATGAGTGGGCTTTGTACCACACGCTCACCCTCATGATATGGGTGATTTAATTTCAATAGATTTCATTGATTAATATAACTTAACATTTTCCAGTTAATAAATATATGTATATATTCTTTTATGAACTGTTTCTTAAGCTTTTAAAATGTTTTATGAACTACATTTCCTAAAGATGGGGCATATATCAATCTAGTCTGGTACTTATATAGTCCTTGATAATCTCTTGGTAATTGGTACTTCATAGCTTTCTCCTATGCACAATACTGAAAGGGCTTTTATAAACCAAGATACGTATACAAATGAAAGTTTGAGGTTTCCCAGGCAGTAGACATTATAGTTTTCCTACAGGCAAGTTGGCTTGGCTAGATGCATCTTGGCTTCCCCAAGTGGTAGGTTGGGAAGAACGCTGTGGTTCGAATCCATGTGACTAGAGAATTTGTTTCATAAACACTTGTGGCTTTTGAAAGGGTTTCAAAATGCACAATGGAAAAAAAAACAAAACACTTTTTTTTCTATCTCTGTCTCTGAAGTGACAAACAGTTTTGATGAAGAAAAAGTGTGAACTGAAATTGCATTTTTGAGCCGCTTGTGATAATGCATACAAGCTGACTGACATTCTTGTTTTGTGGAGTTGGATTTCATAGACCATCTTGAAAACCAAATCCTGTGTATCTTCAAAGCTTTTTTGCTGGTAAAATCTCAGCTGCCAATGTATCCAGCATTGATGATCATGAGATTTCATAAAGTTATGCTTAAAAAGGGATCGTCGGTGGTCAGCTGTGACATGAGATGGGCTTCAGAGAGAGGTGACTGGGGAAGTTGTTCCCTTAATCATGGGGTAGGAGTGGGAGAAAATTCACCTATTGACTGGGATTATAGAACCAAAATTCCAGGCCTAAAAAGTGCTAGTTTTCATACAGTTCTGGGCAGTCTAGAAGTATCGGTGCCTGAGTCAGCCCATTTTTTTTTTGGATATTTTTCCAGTTTTGAATAGAAAGTCATGTGCTTCATAGTTGCTCTGACTCAGATGGTAATTTAGAAATGAAATACTAACATATTCCATATCCTATCCTACCATAGTCTCTAATCCCAAAATTATAGCACATTTTAGTAAATAGTCCCTGGGTGGCACAAATGTTTAAGTGCTGGGCTACTAACTGAAAGATTGGTGGTTCAGACCCGCCCAGAGGCACCTCAGGAGTAAGGGCTGGTGATCTGCTTCTGAAAGGTCACAGCCTTGAAAACCCTATGGAACGGTTCTATTCTGCACACGAGTCGAAATCGACTTGACGGCAGTTACTAATGACAACAACAGTGCCCTCTAGGTTAAATCCTCAGCCTTCTCCCTCCCCCATAGTTTCTTAACCTTGTAAGACTTACAGACCTATATGAGAATCTTATGAACCTTATGGACACATACATACATAGAATTTTACCCACAATTTTAGTGGATTCATAGACACCTCTGAAGAAGATTAAGGATTTCTGTTTTATAATCTCCCTGATCAAGCCCGTCTACTGCTAATGCTTTGATTACAACCTACTTGCTGGTGATCATAAATCTGTCTTCCAATGTGTCTCTTTTCCGAGCCCCAGGCTCACTATTTCCAGCTGCCTTCTATATATCTCCACCTGGATACTTTAAGAACCTCAAACTCAATGTCCAACATTGAACTTATTGTCCAGGTTTGTTCCCTGACAGGAATTGACTCCATCTAGTTCAGTAGCTGAGCAGGAACCCAGAGTAGGGATGGGGATGAGGCTGTGCTCATCTGCATGTATAGTGGCTGTGGGCCAGTGAGCAGATATGAGGAACAGAGTCTTCAGAGGGCATGGGTCAAGCCCAAAACTACTTCAATGTCCTGGTTACTAAACCTGAGAGTAAGGTGAAAAGCATATCCAAGTACGAACGGATGTTCAGGTGAAAACCTGAGTAGACAGTACTGGGGAGGAGCAAATAGTCAAATAGAAGCAGCTACCAAAGGATTTGTCAATTTTGTTCATGTCTTCAGAGAACCAGTGTTTGGTGTCTGTCTGTTTGTTGTACTGTGGGGCTTGCATGTTGCTGTGATGCTGGAAACTATGCCACCAGTATTCAAATACCAGCAGGGTCACCCATAGCAGACAGGTTTCAGCTGAGCTTCCAGACTAAGACAGACTAGAAAGAAAGACCCGGTGGTCTGCTTCTGAAAAGAATGAGCCAGTGAAAACGTTATGAATAGCAGGGGAACACTGATACAGTGCCAAAAGTTGAGCCCTTCAGGTTCAAAGGCACTCAAAATACGACTGGGGAAGAGCTGCCTCCTCAAAGCAGAGTCGACCTTAATAAAGTGGATGAAGTCTAGCTTTTGTGACCTTCATTTGCTGATGTGGCACGACTCAAAATGAGAAGAAACAGCTGCAAACATCCATTAGTAATAGGAACGTGGAGTGTACGAAGTATGAATCTAGGAAAATTGGAAGTCAAAAATGAAATGGAACACATAAAGATCGATATCCTAGGCATTAGTGAGCTGAAATGTACTGGTATTGGCCATTTTGAATTGGACAATCGTATGGTTCACTATGCTGGGAATGACAGCCTGAAGAGGAATGGCGTTGCATTCATCCTCAAAAAGAACATTTCAAGATCTACCCTGAAGTACAGTGCTGTCAGTGATAGGATAATATC